CCCGTTTCCCGAAGCCTGGCGATGGCCATCACCACCGCACAGATACTTCAGATGATGTTCGGGCTCTACATTAACTTCTATGCCTTTTACCAGAAATGGTTGGGACACAAGTGCGACACATCGATGTCGGCCTCGGCTTCCGGGCTCTTCATATACGCCCTCTTCTTCGCCCTATTCATGAACTTCTTCATCAAGTCTTACGGAAACAGATTTACGTTGAAATCCATTAAAAGACTGCTTTCGGGTGCAGCGAAGGATGTGCTCAATAAAGTCGATTAAAACGATTGATTTTATTATTCATTATTGATATAAAAGTTTATATATTTTTGAACTCATTTTTAATTTTTATATTGATTTAGAAGAAAAAGTTTAGTAAAACAAACTAATAATAAATTTGATTATTTAGTTTACACTATATTTGCTAATCTTTTAATGGATCTAATAATTAATAACAATTTTATCTATCGACTGATTTTTTAGTTTCAAATAACCCTTTACTTTGTCTTTTAAACAATTATTTATTTTTCGTTTTGGTTATCTAATAATTAGTCGCTTTTTGTTTTTCTCTGTTCAATTTTATTATTATATTATAAAATATATACATATACTTTGAATTGTAAATTGATTTTATTTTACTTGTTTATTCGTGTTCATTTTAAAAAGATAAGTGATTTTGAAATAAAGGTTTTAATGTTTAAATTTTAAGGAAAGTTATCTGTTTTGCTATATTTTGTGGTGAGAGTTAAGGTGAACGACACTGACCTGACCCACCCATACCTCTTGTGATCCGACTCCTCGTGAAAGTGAATTTCTTACTCCCATTGAAATTCTTTGTAAATGTTAAAAATAGACGAATATTCTGTGAATTACTGTATTTATAAAACTTTCCACGGGTACAATATACATTTATATACCAATTTACAAGTAAATGAATAAATGACTTGATTTTCAGTAAAAGTTGATTTGAACTCATTTTAATGTATTCGTTACTTCCTATTACACTAATCTCTTCATAAGCCTAAAATCCTTTCAATTTATGGATTTTTACGATATTTTATGTATGATTTCGTGAATACTGACATTAATTCGGGATATCTATGCAAATAAGCCTAAACTACAGTATTAAATAAAACTAGCTGCAAATTAAGATGAATGTGGGTACAACCAAATCTACTAAATGTATAGAAATATTCATTGGTTGGTATTAATACTGTCGTGAAACTTATTTTAATTAATTTGACAAATTATCACATGTTTGTCAACAGACAGTCAATAAGATGTTTATTCCTTAAATTTTTTTTATTTATAGATTATTTCATTTCAATTTTATTAATATGTATTTTTAATTTGAAAACATTTTGAAAATCAAATTTTAAATTCAAATATGTACTGAAAATTGAAATCTATTTGATGCGATACTGAATTAATTTAATCTAAAACGTCAATAAAGCAAATAATGAAAAATTTTTCATTTTGAACTCAATCATTAAGAATTGAAATAACAGTTATGAATGGTATAGTTAATTATGTTTTAAATAAAACAGGTATTGCAACAAGTAAATGGCATAATACTGTACTTTTATAGCATAATAGCTGTGATTATTAAAAAAATACAATAAAATATAATAGACAATATATAATCATAATTATCACATTTAATGTCTTATCATTGATGACATCGTTATATAAATGATTAGCATTGCATCGACGCTGACCTTCGATGTCATCCCTAAACTGACACATTATTTCAAGCATTTTCATTGCGATATTGAAATGGCATTTGACAAGTTTTTATTTGCACTCAAATTATGATATATTTGCGAAATAAATTTAACGTAAAATTAATAAATCATACGAAAATAACATTGTATATGAAAATTATTTAAATATTGATATTTATATCCTTGATTTTAATATAAAAACTATTTTGGTATTAAACGATTGCAATGAATATTTATTTAATTGGGATGGGGTTTGCCCTTGATGGTTTTACTTTTTTAGACATTTTTATATAGCACTTGACCTGTAAATTGTAAGCTAGGTAGATAGTTTCCAATGTTTTGTATCTATTTTTAGAGTAGGGTTACTTTTAGTAAATTTAAATATAAATCTTAAGACCTAAAATACCTGTAAATTCAAATTAATATTACATTTTCATCACTATTCTTAACCTCTTAAATACAATGTAATTGAATGGTGTGGTCATCAGGTTCTCCATATGATATCACTTAAAAACTGATACAATAACAGTTCCAACACTGACATAGTTTTATAGATAATTGTAAATTGTGGTCAATTTGATTGTTTACAGACATAATAATCCAGAGATGAGTTTAATTAAATCAAATCAATAGTACAGTTATGCTCACAATTACAGTGTTTCTGAATGTCAGTCACATCCCTGTCATCGAGTCTTCAAAACTTTTGCAAACTTTTTGAGTGAATGTCGAAAATATCGTAATTTATGTGAAGTTAATGTGAAAACAATTGCAATAATAGTAAACAAATGGTTTGCTGTGTGTGTCAGTCGAGTGACACATATGTGTGACAATCACTCATCCATTAAGACATCGATTGTCTCAACCATTGCCTGCAGAGCATCGGATCCGTTGACGAAGTGGTGACGAAATGGAGTCCGTATTGAACCGAATCCGAGACACCGTGTCGTCGACTGTGATTCAGGTGACGTCCAACTTGTCGACAGCACTTCCCGGCAATCCGTTGACCCGCGAGTACGACCTCATCCGACACGTGGCCTCTGCCGGCCCTCACCTCTGCCTCAAGATCTTCGACGCCATGAAGAAGAGCACCAAAGAGGAGGCGGCGCTCTTCGTGTGCGACAAGAAGTCGTTGGACCAGAGGGTCGGCAAAAAGGAGAAGGAAATGGTGTTAGAGATCATCCGCAAAGGGGTGAACCAATTGACGCGATTAAGACATCCATCGCTTCTCACGATTCAACACAACATCGAAGAGAGTCGCGACTCAATAGCCTTCGCCGCGGAACCGGTCGGTCACCACATGTCTGTTGCCGTCCAATGATTAACCATTGTTTGTATCGCACCTGCAGGTGATGGCCAGTTTGGCTAACCTATTGGGCGCTCGTGACAACACTCCCACTCCCATCAGCCCTGAGATCGAGAACTACGAGTTCTTTGACGTTGAGATCAAATACGGTTTACTGAAGGTATCGGAAGGGCTGGCATTCCTGCACAACGACTGCAAACTCTTGCACCGAAACCTGTGTCCCGAGTCTATAGTCGTCAACCGGAACGGCGTTTGGAAGATATCGGGCTTTGACTTCTGCGCCCAGACTATCGGCGCCAATGAGAGTCCACTCAAGTTTCCGCACTTAAATGTATTGAACTATTCAGACATTCCGGCCATTTGTCAGCCAAACCCCGATTACTTGGCGCCCGAGTATCTGGAAAGGGATGTGACGAGTGTGGAGACGAGCGCCGATATGTTCTCTTTAGGCTTACTTACGTTCACGTGTTATAATAAAGGCAAACCACTGCTCCCCAGCGCCGGTAATCTTAGCTTAAGAAGTGTGGAGCAGTTTAAACGCCTGCCCGCCTCCACCTTCAACTGTATTCCCGAAGACTCGAGAAGTCATATAAAATTGTTGCTCAGTTTGGACGCGAGACTACGTCCCGATGCGATCCAGTTCTCGAAACTCCACTTCTTTGAAGACGTTTTAGTGAAGACATTGCAATATTTGGACGCTTTGTTCCAATGGGATAACCTTCAGAAGAGTCAGTTCTACAAAGGGTTGCCCGAAGTGTTGTCCCAAATGCCAAAACGCGTGAAACTCAATCGCGTGGTCTCCAGTCTGGCCAAAGAGTATGTCAATCCAGATATGATTCCCTTTGTTTTGCCAAACATTCTGCTCATCGCCAAAGAGACCGATGACGAGGAGTTCCAGAAGTGGATTATTCCCGACTTAGTCACTGTGTTTAAGCACAAGGAGCCCATTCAGATCGGCATCATTTTGATGCAAAACATGGATTTCTTGGTCTCCAAATTCAAATCAAAACCCGATTCCCTTCGCGAACACATTCTTCCGCTTATATATCGTTCACTTGATTCAGACGCTCAACAAATACAAGAACTTTGTTTATCAGTAATTCCATCGATGGCTCATCTCATAGACTATACAGCAATGAAGAACTCGTTGTTACCCAGACTTAAGACTATTATTCTTAATACTAAACTCTTATCGGTTCGCGTAAACTGTTTGATATGTTTGGGAAAGATTTTGGAGCATTTGGACAAATGGTTGGTTCTCGACGAAGTACTTCCCATTCTCGCTAACGTTCCCTCGAGGGAACCGGCAGTTATCATGGCATCTCTTGGTATACACTTTGAATACTTTTAGCTTAGAATGATTTAAATATTGATATTGTATTATTTATCAATTGATAGCCATTTATAAGCTGACGATGAATAGCAACAAATTAGGTCTGACTAAAGAGGTGATGGCAACAAAGGTTGTGCCATATCTAGTGCCCCTTTCCATTGAAAACGGATTATCTTTACAACAAGTGAGTAAATACGGCGTGAAATATATACTTATTTGTAAACATTTGTTGCTTTAGTTTCAGTCGATTATGTGTTTGGTTCGCGAGATGTTGTGTAAGATAGAGGACGAGCAGCAGACAAAGTTAGAGCAATTGAATTCAATTAAATCACAACAACAGTCACTATTCAATTCGACCCAAAAGTCGCCCACTTTTGACAACTTATCGCAACTGACGAACAACTCCACCAGCGCTCCGGTTATCACTAATAATAGCACCGCATCTGCGCTCACTTTAGAGGATAAGGAAAGACTCGCCAAACAGAGCGAACAGAACGAGAGATTGAGGGCTCAGTCGGCTTTAGTGCCGCAAACCGTGAAATCGATGGAAACGGCGCCAAAACCTAGAGATTTGACGTCTACTCTGATCAATTCAAATCTCTCTAATCTGTCACTCAATTCAATGCAAATGTCAGCACAACAGCAGACCTTCAATCCCTCGTTCACTAGTCATTTGAATAGTCAGTTCAATGCCTTCCCAATGCAATCGCAGACCAATTCCGTTCAGTTCCCGACCACCGCTTCCAATGCATTCCAGTCTCTGCCGCCACAACCATCACAGCAACCCTTTCGACCAAATATGACATCTTTTGATAATCTAATGATTCCGGGCATCACAAAGACTACTAATTCTCAACCAATGAGAGCAATGAATACTAACTCTAATTCTATGAACAACTGGTCCACTAATATGAGCCCTCTTATGGCAAATGCAAACAGTATTGGTTTAAATCAACAAAACAGTCAATCTTTTGGTGCATTCGTGGACTCGAATTCGAGCGCAAAACAGACCAAACAGTTATCGAAGAGCGAACTCGAAGACTTCCTCGGCTGAGACACCACTCAGACATACATTGAAATATTTGAACACATTATCAATGAATCAAATGACTAATTCTTAATCTTAAAGTAATTGTGTATATTTGAAGACTTATTTTTATTGAGATTTTATTTAATATATTACATAACAGTATACCGTATTATAATATAAATATTTACAAATTGTTTTGTCTGTTTAATGTTATGTGAAAATAATATTAATATAATATTATAATACATATCTATATATTATTATTATTATTATAAAATAAATAAATAATAATATATTTTGTATCTAATAATATATATTATGAGAGAAATAATTAGTAACAAAAATCCATTTGAATGAAACGAATGCAATGATTAATCGTTAGCGGAAAACATCCACAAGTGATGAGGTTTTAGAGCACAATATCTAATGAGACAATCCATACATACAGTGCACACACATCCAAGTGCAGAGAGACTCAGCCCTTATCTCTGAGCCATTCTATACCAGACAAAAATAGCCAGCATTACGACGAGCACTCCGATGGCAATCAACAGTATAATTATCCAAAGGCTGACTCCCGCACAGCCGGCCTCGTCCTTCTCATTGCCGCAGTTGTTATATCCGTCGCACTGGAGCTCCGGCCAAATGCATCGCCCGTTGTCGCAGTCAAAGTCATCGCCACACGTCGAGCCCTTCACTATAGGTTTTCGTCAAATAAATATTTTCAAACAATTATTCACTCATTTATATAAACAAATGAATGCATTCGCATAATTATAATAAACACCAGAATCTCGCGAACCTCTGAACGCAGTGAAGGCTATTTCAAAGCCGGCGTTGTGTTGGGTTTGCTTAGTGTTGGGCTTAAATCGCAGGAATATGTTGCTCTCCTCTCCCCCATTGGGCACCGCTATTATCTCCTTAGATTTATAGTCATCCCCTTTGGGTGACCAGGCGTTCTCCGGGTTGGAGCCGCTCCTGAAGTAGAAGGTGTCGTTGTCATGAAAGGACGCCTTCTTAATGGTGGTCACAATACCCGTATCCGAGGGTCCCGTAACCATCACATGACATTCAAAGCCATCGGTCAGTTTTAAGCCTTCGTAGAGGTATGCGGTGATGATTAGCACGGAATCGTTTCCACTACTTTGTAATTGCACTTTATTTATATTGTGGTTATAGCTGAGGGGTATACAGTACTCCGGAATAAATGCTGTAAAAGTATAAGAAACCAAAAACACATTAGCACTTATTTTAATTGCATTTTTTAGTAAATAAATCGCTAGTAATGTGAATAAAGTGGAGAAAATTCACATAATTTTGTCTAAAAAAACTTTAAAATTTAAAAAAACATATTTTTCTTACAATCAATTTTATTAGCGAGTGATAAACTGGTTAAACACGTTAAGAGAAAGGCACTCAAATTTATTAAAAACATATTGAAATTATAAAAAGTAAAACTTATGAACAACTTTATGAAAACTTAATATGATTGATGAAAAATTAGCTGAAAACTTGAAATGAAATTATTTAACATAAAAGGCTGAGAGATAGTCGAGAANAACATAAAAGGCTGAGAGATAGTCGAGAAAAATTGGTTTGAAAAACAAGCGATTCAAACGCGATAACAGAATAATACAGAGGTTTGACAAAAATTGTTGGTTTGGCTGCGAATTGAGGCTAAAGTTTCTGTCATTTGGATATAAAAGCGGAGAAAAGTGTTTTGAATAGTGAAGAGCAGTGCGATTAATATTGTGGAGAATACTTGACTGACATTGCAATTAAGGCACACTTTGCACGGAATCACTATAAATAGTTTGACTCACAATTTGGCAATAGGTTTGGCAATAGTATTGTGCGTTTGTATGCTTTGTATGCCTTCCTCCTCCTCCGCCTCCTCTGCGGCTGTGGCTGTGTATCGAAGAACTTGTTTTGTCGTACAGTTAGACAACCAGTTGTCTGAATGCGTGGTTGCGTTGGCTTTAAGGCACTCGTTGTTATGATGATATGTGTGGTGACCAAGTATGGGATGGCAACCATGGAGTAGTGCCAAACCGGTGCCTTCCTCACCACCAGCACCAGTACGGAGTCAAACATCTGTAGCCAAACAAACACTGAGTTATTCTTACGAATCATTTCAATGAAAACATTTCTCGGGCTCTCATTCTCCCCACTCTTTATGAACTTTCTTCTAATGTACGGAAAAATGTAACAAATGTTTGAGAGATACACAAAAAACTTTGTCTTAAATTAAAATCTCATTTCATTGTACGAATGCTTTCTTTTTCATTCTCTACTGTTGTGTTAATCGCAAAAACTATTTCTCATTTCCCTTTCTTTGCCTTTAATTTGGTTGAAAAGTTGTTTTTGTGTTCATTTCTACTGCGAAACTGTGTTTCCATTCAAAATAAGGTCGAGTCGGTTGTGGTGTTCAGACTTTTCTTGAATTTTTACGATTAAATTAGTTATTTATCATTACGTCATGAAAACCAGTCATTAGTAGTAAGGATTGATTTATTGAGCGATAGGTTATTTATTTACAAATATTTGAAACCTTTGAAGGCTTTACTGCTAAAAGCCTTGAATCTAATTCCTAAACATTTATGGTTTAAAAACATTTTTACTTAAATTAAATATTTTCATTGAAATATGATTTTATACTTTCTATTGTATTACATATAAGTGGGGCTTATATTCAATTAAATACAGAAGCAGTTATTTTTTCTAACGTGAGGCACCCATTTATACCATATTTATATTAATATTGCAAATAAAGTTGATTAAAAAATATTCTATATTTGTCTTAATTGAAATTTATTTTGAAATAATAAACTTCATTAATATTTCACTAGGAACTAAAAAATAGCTTAACATTGACTAAATTGAAATAAATTTTGATAAATTATTAAAATAAATAAAAGCATTCATTGTATTCATGCTATCGTTTAGAGCGGATATATAAACAATATATTGTGATAACTGTAGTTAAACTCATTTTCTTGCAATTCAGATGTTTTGTAATGATTTGAATTTTAGTACAAAATTTTTCTGTATATTTAAAACAAAAAAAATAGCTGTCTGATTATTATGAAAACAATGCCATTAAATAACTGAATAAACATTTTAAAAACATGTATTGTATTACAAATATTTTTGCTAAATGTATAAACACTCTCAACCATTATATTAGAAACTTTTCCGATTTGTCTCTAGAAAATAAATATAGACATCACATACACATTGGGCCAACAAAACTAAAATGCGTGATTAAATTTGCCCGGGTATTTGTAATGTAATACAATGTAAACATTGATACATTATAGAAATGCTAAATATACAGCTAGAATATATAGCCAAACATACAAACCTTTATTAATACACACAGAATGCAAGTGAATGTAATTGTATTGATTTGTCATTTATTTGATGCAAATGTATAAGTTTTTATTAGTTTGCAAATGTATTAAATTTATATATTTAGACACAAAGTCGCAAATAAAGAGCACTCCGATGGCAATCAACAGTATAATTATCCAAAGGCTGACTCCCGCACAGCCGGCCTCGTCCTTCTCATTGCCGCAGTTGTTATATCCGTCGCACTGGAGCTCCGGCCAAATGCATCGCCCGTTCTCGCAGTCAAAGTCATCGCCACACGTCGAGCCCTTCTCTATAGGTTTTCGTCAAATAAATATTTCTCAACAATTATTCACTCATTTATATAAACAAATGAATGCATTCTTATAATTATAATAAACACCAGAATCTCGCGAACCTCTGAACGCAGTGAAGGCTATTTCAAAGCCGGCGTTGTGTTGGGTTTGCTTAGTGTTGGGCTTAAATCGCAGGAATATGTTGCTCTCCTCCCCCCTATTGGGCACCGCTATTATCTCCTTAGATTTATAGTCATCCCCTTTGGGTGACCAGGCATTCTCCGGGTTGGAACCGCTCCTGAAGTAGAAGGTGTCGTTGTCATGAAAGGACGCCTTCTTAATGGTGGTCACAATACCCGTATCCGAGGGTCCCGTAACCATCACATGACATTCAAAGCCATCGGTCAGTTTTAAGCCTTCGTAGAGGTATGCGGTGATGATTAGCACGGAATCGTTTCCACTACTTTGTAATTGCACTTTATTTATATTGTGG